ATCAACAGCAATCCGTGGTTGTGCCACAAAGAGCATATGCGATCTCGGCAGCCAGTCCTACAGTTCCCAGGGAACGTCGGCTAACATCAAGTTCATCTGCACTAGCGGAAGTATGAGTCTCCAAAAAGGCTTCTACCTCCCAGCTGTGATTTGTCTTTTTTTGCTTAAGTTATTGATCTGAAATAAAAAATAAAATATATATAGATATATATCTATAGAGAGAGAGAGAGAGAGAGAGAGAGAGAGATAAATATCTATATCTCTCTCTATATATATATATATATTACACACATATGAGCTATAGAGGTTTGGATTGATTTGATTGTAATTTTTATAACAAGGCTAGAGTTCATAAGCTGCAATTTAATTTCCTTTTTTAATTTTTTTTTTACTGTGTGTAAAATCTGTTTTTGAATCCCATTCTTCCACCCATGTTCCATACATCAAAATAAACAATTGTTGTGTCACAACTGAGTTCTAACAACTAACTACTAATGTGTAATTTTTCAACGCTTACAGTTCATTTTCGTAAAGTAGAGAAGACTGTCCCCTACCATCATGCTGCAAAGAGAGAGGCCCTTGCTCTCTGTGTAGAAGCAATAGTCTCTCTACTCAGGGACATAATAACAAAGGGGATACTGGTGAACCAGCTCTAGGCCCACCACCGAAAATAGGCCCAGCCAGCGCAGATCGCCTCCGTATGCTCGATGGCAATCTGGGCAGCCAGGCTGAACACAATTAGCCAAAGGCACCAGCGGCTCTCTAGTCAGGCATAGTAGGCGGCTGCTCGCTGGAGTCAGCGAGGAGCGAGTGACGGCCTAATTGGAGAGCTGTCTCTGCTACTTCTAGGGTTGCCACCTGTCCGGGATTCACCCAGACAGTCTGAGTTTTGAGTCCTGTATGTGCTGTGTATGGGTTTCAGGCCATCTGACACCCAGACATAAGATATCATGAGGTCAGGCAGACAGGGACAACCAAGGAGTCCTGGTGTTCCAACTTGAGTGCCTGTAGGAGGCACGGAACATAAAGGGATGCTGAAACTTGTGGAGCAAGGTGTCTGAAACACAGGGTGCATATAAGTCTTGAAAGCACACTCTCCTGGCTGTCTCTCCTAGCTCTTACTCCTTGCTGCCTCTCCTCGCTCTCCTCCCTCCTGTCTCTCCTTGCTCTCTTTCTGCCTATCTCTCCTCTACCCCCTCTCTCTTTCTCCTGGTTGTCTCTCCTCACTCTCTCCTGTATATAAGAGTTTGAAAAAAAACTTGGGCGGGGGAACCTGTTCCTGTGCCACATCCAATACTCGAGAATGGCAACAAATGTATGTAAATAACAGACTATGAAGGTACCAAAATGAATCAATTGAATCAATTCACATCATATTTTATTGCAACATTATACCAAACACTAAAACCACACCTTAAAAAAGAGCTTTCGACAACTATTTGGCCTTAACACCGTATCCCAGCCAAACTGATCAATATCCACTTCATAACACAATATTCAACATCTCTTGGCCACTGTTATTACATTATACCGCTCTGTAATTTATTAAACGCTGGATATTCCGGTGAGACTTATCTCAACGCGTTTCTCGGATAAGTCCGCCTTGCAAACTGAGGCATACTAGAAAATATACATAAAATTGTGTATAAATAACACAGAATACAACAAAAACAGACCAGTGTAAATTGCCATAAACAATATAAGTTTGCCTACAAATAGCCAATGTAATCGTGTATCCAGCGGCATTCGTCTAAAAGCAACGCCAGCTATGAGCTGCTCGTGCAGGCGCAGAGACAGTTATACAGAGCTTCCCTTATAATGGACCACACACCGCGGCACATAGATTCCTTAACTAAGATATTAATAGTACCCATTAACCAGAAACTCGGTGTGAATGTGAATTGATTCAATTGACTCAATTCGGAGCCTTAAAACCATTATATATTTAAATTTTTTTGGTCCCACAAGAGTGACGGCTAACAATCTACAATCATTAGGCGGTCAAACAAAGATTACAGTGATCCAAATAAATCTAGTGTATCAAGAACAGATTAGCTCAAACAAAAAGGAAAAGTCCAGGGCCGGATTTACTTTTTCTGCCGCCCCAAGGCCAGGTTCCTCAATGTTATATATATATATATTTACAGTCTATATATACATTGTATGTATATATGTATGTGTATGTGTATGTGTGTGTGTGTGTGTATATACAGTATATATATATAATAAACTATATATCGCACTGTAATACAGTGGATTTCAAAGTCAAAAGGCAAACACGGATCGAAGATATAAAAGTATAAAAATATATATCCTTACTGACATCAAGAAGCTGCTGCTTACAATAATTATATGAAACGAAAGTGATGGCATACCTTTGGGACTTGCGTTACTTCTCTAGGAACTTAATCACTATGGCTGACACACAGTTCCAGGCAATTGCTGCTTTATATCACCTCTGCCTACCTCCATTATCAAGAAATCTCTCCTCTCTCTCTCTCTTCCAATATAACCTTCCGGCTCTTGACCAGAGAGGAGTGAGACAATTTTGTTTTACATACTCTACAGTCCTTATTTAAGGAGTTTAGGCCAACAAGTAACAATCACTGCCCGCTAACTAATTTGAGATCCCAACAGTGTATTTTTATTAGATGTACTCATATTCCCTTCATACATCACACAGCGCTTTTATATCACGAATGACCTCGGGTCAAGCAAATCAAAGGTTATACCTCGCTTTAATTGATATGTCAGTTTGCCCATCTCATAAATTCTGTTCCAGTTTTTCATTTGCAATGTGTACAATGTGTAACCAAAGAGACGAGATGAATATTGGGCAAATAAAAATGTGGAACTTTCCTAACAAATGTTTTGCCAATAATTATTGTGAGCCAGTCTGGACAAGTATATTCTAGGGCAGTTGCAGGCAACCATGGCACTCCAGCTGTAGTGAAGCTACAATTCCCTTGAGGCATTGCAAGACTCTGACAGCAACAGGCATTA